GGGGGGGGGCGGGGCTCGGTCACACAATGCCCTCGTGTAAACCCCCACTCCAAACGCCACACCGGCACCGGTGACCACCGGCTGCTTGGAATCCCTCGCAATACCTCGTCTCGACATCGGACTCGGCAAAGAAACCACGCGCACGAATGAAAGTCGGCGGATTAAAAGCCCGAGTCGTCTCGTGACCGAATCTCCCAGCATGCACCTGATGCGTTGTCGGATCTCGGGCGCTTAGAAGCAGGGATGGGTCACCGCCTCCCCCCGCGCAAAATACAGGTGTGGTAAACATTGTGGTCTTTCGGCAATGGGAAGGCAGAGCAGCAAAATCCATTGTTGTTCCGAGTACACACCCGCCGACGCTAGCCCGCACCGACCACCATGGTGAAGTATGGTCAAAATAATTGTGAGTCGGCAAGAAACGCGCTGTACATGTACACAGTAGCCAAAGACCATCGCTCTTCCGCAACATAATCTTGGCGCTCCGTGCGAATTGGCCGCACCGCGTGTTTTGCGTTGGCTTTGTGGTGGACAGGCGTTGTGGGCATCTTCCCTTACATTCGTGCCGGGGTCGACGTTACGGATCAGCTGGGCAAAGGGGCAGAAGCGGCGGCGGCGGCGGCAGATTTTTCACAATGCGAGCGGTTTAGAAGTGACGCTAATCGTGGAGAAAAGGGATCTGTGAAGTGTTCCTTGAAAATGAATTATTATTATTATTATTATATAGCTCAATGGGCTTGGGGGGGAGGAGAAATTAAAGTTGTGATTCTGACCCGGCCAGGAAAACCAAGCGTAATAAAAATACGTAAAAAAAAAGTGTTTGTAAGGCCAAAAATCTTCTCAATAAAGAAGCTCTCTGGAGCTCCCTCTGGTGCAGATCCTTCTACCAGCAGTGGCATTGAGCAAATAATTGCAGGGCTGCATCGTTAGCTTTTTTTAATTTGTACGTCCACACGTACGTTCGATCACAATTTGGACGAAGTCAATTATGGACCTTATATGGGCAGACCTGCCATAGGAATGTGGAATTTCCAGCACTGGGCTGCATGCAACCAACAAAGATTAGCGCCACAAAAGGTTAATTCAATGAGTAGTTTAAACCATAGATGGAGGCCAACTAGTGTTGTTTATTCTTGATGGAGCAGGATTTTTGTCATACGGTATTCCATTACATTGTATGCATGCCTCCTCCATTGCCCAAGTATGATACGGTCATTGATAAGGTGATGAGAGAAATCCTGCCCCTTAATTCTTAGAATGCCTCCTGTGGCGATGTTTCACACTGACATCAGTAAGTAGGCGGTTTATGCTCATCAAATGTATCATCATAATTTTGCAATGGTTAATCCACTGCTGGATGAATTCCTCTCCATGCCGCTGCCACCCTCTGACGATCCTGCGATGTAACAATCTGCCCAGCACTTGCGCGTGAACCTATTTCTCTTCTTCATACGCACGCACGCATGCATTATGAACTTATTTTGCACCGTACGTAGCCAATCGGAGGTGCGGGGGAAGGACAACAACCTAAACACAACAACAAGCAGTTCTAACGTGGACGTTCACTTGGACGCCTTCCACTCGTTGGGAAATTAATGTTTGGATAGCTGTAGCGGGAGTGGTGGCGCAGTGGTTAGCTCACCGCAGGATTGAACTCGAGGTCTTGGCTCGCTGTGCTCCGCGAGTAAAAATCTGAATCGGCCCTGGGCCTCTCCTCTTCGCCAGCGTGCACTTGACCAACATGGTGAAGTATGGTCGCGCAAGCTGATTGGTTGGTCACGTGTGGAGACGGCCTTCATCTAGCAGTGGACTGTGATAAAGGGCTGTAAATTGTTATCATCATTATCACCATCATCATCATCATCATATTACTGAATGACATTAAACTGACGCACGCAAATATATTTATGTATTTGGAAAAAAAAACAGTGTGTAAACATAGGCCACTAATCTTACTAATGCTGTTAGTTTTCCTGCTGGTTTATTATGCAGGGTTCCCCCCCCCACCCCAGCCTCTCCAAAATATTAACTTAGGTCACACCAATAATAATAATAATAACATCCGATAAGTCACAGCTGATGCTGCTGCAATTCGTAATAATAATAATCATAACAACAACAGCAAGAATGAAACTGGACTCGCAGGTGAACTTATTTGGGTAGCAGTGATTGTTGGCAGCCGCTGATTGCTGGTGCAGAAGTGAGAGGGGGGTGCGGGGGGATGTTTGTGTGACCTCTGTGACGTTTGACTGCACCACCCCCCCCACCCCCAGTGCTGCACGGTCCGTTCCGTCGTTCCGTGCACTGAGAAATGTTGTCGCGCTCGAAAGGCAAGAATGGAGAAACGCTATTTACGAACTCCATTGGCTGCGTTAATTTTTTTTTGCTTTACAAAAAAAAATGTGTTGTCGGCCCGATAACCCATCGCGCAAGCGCATCGTGCACCCTCCGCCACCCGACACAGCCAATAAATAGTGATTTTAAATGTAATTCTTTTTTTATGATTACGACATTATAAAGATACGTTGCTGTGCCGGGTGGAGGAGGGTGTACGACACGTTTTAATTGCGCGATCAGATCCAATGAAGCCAATTGTTAACCATGGCATCGGTCGCGAAAGCCTACCACGTGGTTACCTGTAAGCGGCACTTGCCATTTCCACACTTTAGCACTCTTGTCTCATTGTGACAAATTGCAGTTCGTCTTTCTATTCTCCTTTAAATATTGTCAAATGTACAATCTATCGAACCTCAAATGCACACTACCAATGTACTTCCAGTCTTTGTCTTCCTCTCCCGTTCTAAGCAACTACATTTTCATTTATTAAAGCCATCCCAAAACATTTTATATATATTGATATTTCAAAAGTTAATTTTAATATACTTGAAAAGAAAATGTTTACCGAGATTTTTTTTTTAAATCGTACAATGAAGTACAATACAACACAATAAATGCAAATATATACAACTATCTTATTATAACACAGAATACATAAAACTCTTAAAATACCTAATACTCCTAATTCAAACAAATCAATTATGTCTTAAATATAATACAGATAACGCTATGCTTAATGAAACTGTGAAGGGATGGAAATCCAGTGATCAAAAACGGGTAATAACCATAAACTTTTTTTAATATCAAACAAATCCAAGTCTCTCTAACATTTTAAATCAGTTAAGGAATGCATTGCTATAGTAATGGTTCATTTATCTATTTTCTTTGCCCACCGATTTCACCTTTTCACCTTAACCTTCGGGAAAGGGTGGCGGGCGGGGGGGGGGGTTATACCGCTCTGTCTTCTTGTAAAGTGGGGGAAAATTTTAAGGAAATGGGACTTCAAAGCACCGACAGAATGAGGGGTTCACGGTGGGGGTGGCCGGGGGAGGATCCGGAGTGCCCTGGCGTTCTCCACGACCAAAAACCGATGCTTCGGCACCAAATCCACCGTCGAGCCACCGATACTACCGCCCCCCGGTGTACCGGACTGTGCAAGCTGTTACCGGATGCGGACGCCCGCGTAGCGCCCTCTTTACCCCCCCCCACTTCCCCATCGCTTGGCCTCGCACGATCGTCGTCATTGCTCGTCGAGCGGGCGAAGCGATGGGGGGGGGGGGGGGGGGAGGTGCGCGAACGGTCGAGCGCATTTTTCACCCCGACAACGATTCCAAACTTTAGCAGCGATTTCGGAATGAGGATTTTCACGAGATGGATCGCGCAAGGGCGCTCGCGTAGCTCGGCGAATTTACGACGCTATGAACCCGACAACCCGAGTTGGATTCCTGGCCGCTGCTCACCATCGGTGGTGAATTATATCTGAAACTGGTGCTGGGCCCCACCATTTACCAACCCGCACTGGCCGCTGTGGTGAAACACGGTCAAACAACCCCCCACGACTGACATGGTATACAAGCAGTGGAACAAATCGTAGGACTCCACAAAGTTCCGGGCAACTCTTCCTGCACGCCGCCTGGGATAAAGCACCATTTTTTGTAATGCAGTCAAAACCTTGGCTTCATTTGTACCTTCGCTTCGCGAACGCCAATTGACATGGACGTGGCTAACGGGCTTAGCGCGTCGTAGATTAGCGGTGGTTGTGTGGGGGTCAGGGGCCGTCGATGAGAAGGATAAAATTCCTTGTCGGACGCCAGTTTCTAAGTCCCCACCGACTCTGCGCCGTACGGACGGCTTCGGCGAGCGCCTGCGTCGTGGGCTTGACCCGGGACTCAACAAAAATCGGGAGGCGAACGCAAAGAGCACGGCTGGTTTGATTCATGAATTGTCCCTCGGTCCGCCGGTTAGCAAAAGGAACGCGCAAAAAACGACCTCCGCCAAATCAACGGCTCTTCCCCTGTTGTGCGCACGACGGGCATAACTGATACGGTGAGAGCCTCTCTGAAGTGTAAAACCCGCGAATGTTGCACGCAGGCCTTGCCACGGCCTGAGTGTACTCGCACGGCCCATTCGCAACGACCGTAGGAATATATTTGTTTTCTTATCATCCGTTTTTGTTTGCGTTTTTTTTGTTTTCATAATTGAGTACCAAATGTGTTAAAAAAAAAACAACCCCCGCTGCTTTATGTATATAGAGAGATATAAACTGCCTGTGGACAGACGTCAAGCGTAGTTTGAAACGTCGACTTTTTTTGTTTGTCGATGCGGAAATTGACACCGCGAGAGCGTAGGAATGAACGACAATGGGTGGCCTGGGTGGGAGGGGTGGGGGGAATGGGAAGAATCAAAGGGAAATTCGCATGGTTCAAAACTGGCCCGTGATGCAATGCGTGACTGCAGGATTAATGATGCTTGAGCAGTTGGATTAAGATGCGGAGTTTGGACATTTTATTTAATCCACGCGATGACGGCTAGCTCATCATTATCACTATAATTCCCACTCTTTCTCTCTCCGATTAAGTACTCGCAATCAGGGAAAATATGGTTCAGTCGCACCCAGCAAGAGAAAGGTGGGGGGGGGGGGGGGGTGGGGGGGGGTGGCAGGGGTGGCGGGGGCATGGGGGAGAAACACAAAACCCGAAGAAATTATTAATTTATATTTATTCTCATCAAGAACCCCCGCAAACGTGAGTCAAGTCCATCGGTAGTGCTGGAACCGCCTCGCAGTGGGGGCCAGAGTCTCCCCCACCCTCGAAGCCCCCCCCCCCCCCCCCCGCTGGGGCACGAGGTGCCCCGACCTTGCAGAGGCCTTCACAAACGTCTTCCGATCTTCCATCGGCTTCGACGACCAGTTTCCCCCTCCGTGTCATCAAAAAGAGGCTCCGCTTGCCGGGCTGTTGGTGGTCGCGTCGGGAGATAATACGAGGCGGCTGTGGTGGCAGCGGTAGCGGTGGCGGTGGTGGCGACGGCGGCGGCGGTGGTGGAGTCGTTTTCCGCGGATGGAAAAAGCTCATTTGTCTCAGTCGCCCAGAAAGCTCGTGAAGGCAGCTCGGGGAACGGAAAGCCTCGGGCACCTCGGCGTCCAGCTTGCAGATGACCTTGTAGATGGCCTTCTTCCACGATGGGTCGACGTCCTTACCTGCCTGGATCGCGGAGAAAAACTCGCGTAGGGTGATCTCCGCCACCTCCAGGAAACGCTCAGGGACCTGGCGAGACAGGGAGAGACAGAGAGACGGCGACGAGGGGTGTCAGGATCGAAACGCAAGGATCGGCAGGGGTGTGTGCCCCCGGCTGGCTCTGTGAGCCTTGCGGCGTCGTCACAGAACCATGCCACTTATTCTGACAATGCGATCGAGTCTCACTCGGTTGCACCTCCGTTTTGCACGGTTGGCCACGTACGGTGTGACAGAAGTTCCGCATACGTACATGCTGAAGAAACGTTATCACTCCCGGAGTATTGATTTCGGTGCGTGGATCAGTCACGTGGACAATGACAAATAGAAAATGGATCAAATTCGGAACTTCGCAAAGAAACGTTGGGAGGGGTGCACGTTCGGAATTACACCGAGAGACCGGAGGAGGAGGAAACAATGTGGACGGGACAGAAAACAGCGTTGAGTGTAAATGAAATGTAAGCGTGCATGGGCTGGACATCCAATAGCAGCCAAAAATAAAGGGAAAATGTCCCAGATGACACGTGGATTGTTGCATCACGTGAGCCGTGAGGGAGGTCTTCATCCAGCAGTGGAGAGGTCATGGCTGGCGATGATGACGATAGGCTGTATGTGCAATTAGTTGCTATAAAACTTTCCGCCACTGGAGATTTCCATATTCACCACAACGGCAAAAACGAGGTAGATTTTTGGATCAAATGACTACCCTGAATCGGAACCATTGTATACCCAATAACATCTCATATATATAATGTACACAGGTGTATGTACCGAGTGCTGTGTACAGACTTGCATAGAGACCCATAGACTCACGAATAAAATCATAGACTTGCAAAGAAACCCAGAGTCCAACGTAGATATGCATAAACATACATAGAGACCCATAGGCTAACATATAGAATCATAGACAAACATGCTGGTTGCATGTGAAGATTTGTATTAGACATGTAAACATATAAAGATCGCAGTTGCCAAGCTGAGCTCAGGCCCAAAGGCCGAACATTGCCAAGCTGCCAGCAACAAGCAGCACTTTCGAAGTTGTAATTAAGAGAGAGTTAACGCTTTTCTTGCAAGGTTTTTATGTATGGTATGTTGAACTTTTTTTTGCACCGTACATAGCCAACCGTGCTCATCGGAAGTGCAAGCTACAGAGGTAAAGACCTCACCCAGGGGAGCGTCCCCCTTACCCCCAAAGACAAATATCCCCCATACAGCCTTAACAAACTGTTGGCGCAAGTGCTGTCAGCGAGCACCTAATGAAGGCCACACGTCACACGAGTGTGCAAGTGACCATCACCACGCCTGGCCACCTTTGTCTCTCCAGTGCTGACATGAACACACTGCACAAGGTACTCATCTGTGGCCGAGCATACCTAGGAGAGCCTCAGAAACGGTTCAGATATTCGTCACCGACGTTGGCCATGAGTTGGAATCGAGCTCGACATCTCCGGGGTCTGTAGCGCAGCGCGCGATCCACTACGCTACCGCTCCCCCCACCCACCAACCACGCGCACTTTTTGCTTTGAGTGCCGTCTCCTGCCGTGAGAAGCGTTGCGCGCGGTCGGCAACTCTGTGCGGCTCTGCCTTGCTCGCCGCGTCCTGAGCGGCTCCCGAAGCCGACGCGTGGATGTCTTGTATCACCGCCGCCGTGGCCGCTACCACGGCCGGCGTTATTCGCGGCGTTTCACACACTCGGGTTTTTTTTTTGCGCAGCGGCGACGGGGGGCGATCAATAACGAGCTTAATCTTCACCATTAGCAGATTTGGTCAAAAGTGCCTGGGGTCATGTGTGGCCACACCTTCATTCGAAATCCCCCGACTAGTTACTGGAAACGCAAAAAGCCTTTTCCACTGAACTGAATAAATCAATCAATCGCCCCCGAACCTGAGATGATAATCGCCCAAAATCTCTAAACACAAACATGCACGAGGCACCAAAGCTTCCTGTAAATGGAATAAAGCTCGGGCGAGAAGACTGGGGCGCTGTGTGGTTAAGCACATGTGGTGTTAAACGATACAAACTTCCTGCTACGTAAAAAAAAAAACACCCAAGCGGGGTTCCATCCTGCCAGCCACGAATGAAAGTTGCAATGAAGAGAGGCGGGGGGAATGAAACGAAAAAAGAAAACCTCACGGCAAACGAAAGCTGTGCCGAAGCTGCATTTCACCCTGTGATCTCGCTACCTGGAGGTAGTAGCTCTGTGAGCTTTGTGGACTCGCTCGCGGCAAAGTTAGGGGCGTCCGCGGTTCAGTGTTCGGCGCTCACAGTCTTGGAGTCTGCGCCGTCACGCTCGATGCAATTTTTTTTTACAAAATCAAGCAACTCTGTCATTTGCCGGTCCTTTTTGTTTTGTCATTCCAGATCAGTGTTCTTCATTGCAAGACCCGCGGGGACACCAGCGCCCCCCACCCCTGACATTCAGGCCCCGACAATAACACAAATTGTGAAAACACCCCACATGGTGCTGCTGTCAAACCTCCAATGGCTTCAAATGTGTGGCGGCCCTCACTGATGATGTCTCTTCGGCCAGAGTGCCCCCGCCCCCCCCCCCCCCCCTCCTCTGAAAATTCGTTAAGAACATTGCTCTGGAGATTCGTGCGAGGTGGCCAGGAGATGGCGGTGCCGAGTCCTGTTTCCTTGTACGCGCGGTGGCGGGTTTTCTCCGTGTTTTCTCCGGGTTTTCTCCGGGTTTTCTCCGTGTTTTCTCCGGGTTTTCTCCGGGTTGTATCTATGCATGCATATTGCACTTCTTTCGAACCGCCGCCGTGCTTAGCCAACCGTGCTAATCGGAGGTGCCATGGAAGGACAACAAACTAAACGCCGCAAAAAGCACTTCTGAAAGAAATTTGTTTTCAATCTCGATTTAAAAGTGCATAGCTCCAGTGGGTTTATCTAATACTAAACGATTTATTTTATTTTACCAGATAAGGCGCACTGAGCTATACAGCTCTTTTTCAGAAGTGGCCTGGCCACAAATGAAATCTCAACGAAGTGGCTTATCACGTGGACATTTATCACGGCCGAATACTCTAAACGCATGTTTCTTAATGCGGAGGGATAAACCGGAGGACCCGGAGAAAAAATACACTTGACCACAGCGAGAACATGCGAACTCGAAATATACAGGCGTAGGGGATGGGATCAATCTCACGACCTCTTGTACACCAGGCGAGGTAGTTAACATTTCGCCACCGTTTATGGAAATTTCCAAGCACTAATTGCAACAAAAAAAAAACCTCTTGAAACTCAGCGTGGCTTTCCTGGGCAACTGAAGAAAAACATTAGTTATTATTATAATGACGCATACGACAAAATGTCTTTCTGTGAACCACTAAAATATAAGAAAACAAATCCCCAATTCTTCCCGAAATGAGATAAGACAAGAAAAGAAACAGATAAACCGGGGACGAGGAAATATTTTGAAAGTTTCGACGGCAGCGTACACAAGCCGAGGGCAGCTGAAAAAAAAAATGTTCACTTTAAAAAGTCGAAGGCAAGGCGCCAACCGCCGCGCCTCTCACCTGAGCATTAATTTGAACCCGATGCGCGCGGTGGACTTTAATTTAACGGTGCGAGAATCAGCCTGGCGAGCCAGGCAGCCAAGCCCGCCCGCCCGCCCGCCGGCTTTGTTATCCAGGTGCAAGTGTCGAAATGTTAACGTTTTTAAACATCGGCGTGCGCGCGTGTGAAAAAAAATTGTGGGAGAGTGCCGAGCGATTGTGCACTCCCCGCAGTGACTCACTCTGGAAACCAAAGTCTCGGAAAAAGCCAAGAACCCTTCTTTTCACCCTTGACCAAGCCGAGATATTGATATAGTGTTTTGTTTTCGTGCTTCGGGGTGGGAGTGATTCCCCCCCCCACACAACCGACCACCCCCCACTCCGCTTAAAATGTTCCGGACACGCCGTGACCCCCCCCCCCCCATTCTCTCTAAGTTACAACCTCAGAAATTAGCCAGCCAATAAATTGCAAACGGTTGATCAAAAGGCAGAGTGGATTAAATGTTCCGTCCGTGTTGTGGGAGTGATGCTCCAATCAGTGAGTTACTTCATTTTTTTTGTACCCCCCCCCCCCCCCCCCCACACACACCCCACACGCCGGCATTATATATTTAATGCTTCCCCCCGCAGACCCATGAAATGAGTTTGCAGGAATACCAGAGACTCCTTGATTAAGTCGAGAAGTCTTAAGTTCAAATTCCTTCTGCTTCTTTCCACCACCACCACCTCCTCCTCCTCCCCTGTAATAAAATCCCCGCGCCTAACTAACTCCCACGCGGAACCCTCGCAGGGCATCCCGGTCCCACCCACGCCACCGGCAGGCAAGGGGGACGAGGCCATAGAGGAGTCCTCTCTCCCTCCCTCTCTCTCTCTCCCCCTCTTCCTCGCCACCTTCAAGGGGATAGCGAGGGAACGGCGTTTGAGGAGCGCGAGAGAGGCCCGTGAGGCCTCCGCTGGCCTGTGAGGGCACTGCTCCGTGGTTTGACATTGTAAGTGTTGGGATCCCCCGCGGTTGATTGCGGCAAAGGCGCCGCCCGCTCTTGCCCCCGGGGCCCTTTGATCACTCGTGGCCACGGTGTGCCCCTGCTACGAGTGAACTGGCCGCCCTTCGTGGCGAACGCCTCTTCAAATGCTGCCCTACACCAAGGGCGATGCCTTCATAATTCATATCAACTATTAGCTATTCAAATCAATCGTTATTAGTAGTGGCGGTACATTATTCGTTATTTGTTGTTATTAGTCTTATCGTTACGTGTCAAAGGAGAATTCTAAATGTCTCTCAGTGGTAATGCGCGACGTTAACTACCTCCGTGATATCCGTGTTCTGAGTTCTTGAATTAACAAACAAAAATATCAAAACATTCTGGAACCTTCTGATTATGAGCAGCGTGCTGGAATCACAGCGCACCTCTGCCATTTCACCCGCTTTTAATATTGGCCTCTACTGGCCGTTACGTCGGCCATTGTATCTGTTACCGTGTCATTAAATCTGTTACCGTGTCCTTATCATTTGGGGTGGAGCGGTGCCGCAT